AAGTAGAACCAAGTCAGTGAGTGCTATCCTAGTGCTCCAAAGTGGGCCCCACATAATGTCTAATCAAACTATATTTATATTTTATTATTTTATTTTATTTGACTGCGCTGTCCAACATCGTTTCATTATCCTTTTTTTTGTTGTTGATAGAAATCCTTTCCATTATTATTTGTGTTGTATTTGTGTATTATATTTTTCACAATTATAATAATTTCCAATTCCTTTTTATTTTTATGTATCAGTAATGGGTATGGGAGGAAAGGGAATGATTTCCATTCCTAACTTCCCCTGCGTTTACTTGCAATCAGGAATGAAAAAATAAGTGGACCCCACCTCAAAATCCGAAATCACATCCCCTCAAAACTAGGTATCAGATCAACTAGGGGGGAGTAGTCGATACGATTCTCATTCCTGTTTTCTCATAGTAACTTCCAAAAATACCCTTACCACTTTACCATAATTCCAAAACACCCAAAAAAAAAAAAAAAAACTCACGGCAAGAAGTTCCAAGACGCTCCTACTTCTTTTTCACGTTAGCGTTGCAGACACAACCTCCCAGAAGCAGCAGCAACGCCTTGTGCTATGTAAGTCATTCTATCTATCTATCTTCTTCTTCTATCTTCTGTTTTCACATTCATCACAAAACAAAGTACGGTCATGGATAAAGACTTTTGTGGAGATTAAATATATTTTTTTTGGTAGTATGAAGATTATGCAGGTTATTATTATTTGATTGTTTACTAGTTACGTAGGTGAAAGATATATATTTATTGGAATTTATTTTTTCATTTGAAATTGGCTCTGGACAAAGGTGTTATTAACATTATCATTGAATTGGGCTCTTGTTGTTCATCCTGTTTAGCATATTAATTCCTCATGTTTACACCGCCTTACTGGTTTGTTGCAGGATTAGTCTGGTCTCCTTAGCCAATTTGAGAATTATATATGTGCTGTGGTGAAAATATGCAGGGCATTTTAGTAATCAAATTAATTTGGATTCTAATTTATGAAAATTAGTAAACAATAACAATAGGAATCAACCCCATTCCTTTGCTAATTCTATATGTTTAGTAAACAGCTTAATGAGAATGATTCTTCCCATATCGATTCAATAGTTCCCCGATTCCTGAATTATCTGATTCCTTACTTTCTCCATTACTAATACGTAAAGAATTGGACGACAAAAATTTGTTACAAAATTGGAACCCATAAATTGATCATATTTGAAATCATATGCAACATATTTGAGTAACCATATATGTAGCGAGGCAACACATTTGAGTAACTATATATGTATTGGGTCATTTGAAATTCATTTAGTTTTCTTTTCTCTCTATTTATTATCACTTGACGAACAAGTATGATACTTAAATTTATAATCGAAATTTGTCCAAACTAGAAAAAAGAAAAAGAGATCCAAATAAGAAAATGAAATGATTTCTTTAATTCCAATATTCTTTTCTCATTTATGTTGAACAAGAGATTGAATTGATCATATGGTCTATATCTTTATAGTAACTCTTCTCCCACCATCTAAACTTGCCAATGGGGCTAAATTCATGTACTTTCACAAACGATCTTTTGTGTGATTATAAATCTCTGTACTTGCCAAACCTATTTTTTCTTCTTCTGTTTCTCGTGATGGCAGAATCAGCTTTTGATGTTCTATCTATGCTTTAAGAGGGGGGAGGAGATATTTTATGTAAAAGATTGAAACTCTTTTTTGAGTTTGTCGAAACTAGAAAACATTTGCATAGGGCAAGGGTATTATAAGTCATAGTCTATCGTATTTTATCAGTTTATGTCCAACATAACGGAGCCACCATCATGATATGTCACATTCATATGATTCATGAAGAATTCAAGGACTTCATTTCTCTGTTTTATCTTTAGTCAAATGAAAAGGACATTTCACACACGCGGAAGAAAAGATTTGTGATTCTCAAAATTCATGGAGCTATGGCCAAAGTATTCCTACTCTTTTCAGATGTGCAATCCTTTTTTGTATGTAAATTAACCAGAAAATGTTAACTAGTCCTAATTGTTGTTGAGAAAAAAAAGAGAACCCGCACAATGAGTAATGGAACTTTATTGTAAGTTTTATTCACGTGCAATCATTCACAAATCATACGAAAGAGGTAAATATGAGTATATTGTGCGGGTGAAGGTCTGAATCAAAAATTTCCAAATGTACTCCTTAACTCTACAAAATGTTTTATTGCACGACTTAAGTGTAAGTGGTGCGTTGAGTATTATAGTATGGTCATGTCCATATAAGATTTTCACCTTTAATTATATGTAAATTATTTTTTTAAGGAAATTGCTCGCATAGTTAGTGCCCGTTTGGCATTGCTTATCTGGGATGATAAGTGATTTTTAAAAAAAAAATTGGGAAGTTCAGCCTGTTTGGTAAACTATGAGAAAATCACTTATTGTTAAAAATTGATGTGAGAAAAAGCTATAAGGGAAATCAGCTAATGGGGTGCTTTCATTTTCTGATTATGCAGGAATTAGTTTTGAAGAGGTGTTGGGTTTAATGATTATGCGGGAATCAGTACCAACAACACTTTTAACAAAAAGTTTATCAAATGCCAAACTGCTTTCTCTCACAGCAAATCTGACAACGATTATTTTCACAGCACAGCAATGCAAAACTGGGCTTTAGTATCATATATAACTTGCTGTCATGGAATAAAAAGTGTATTTAAAGAACTTCATGGAACATATGCGCATGACAAAAGTACATTTTAATTAAAAATTATATATAGGAGAATTCGAACTCTAAATCTCTTCAATATTGAGAAAATAAGTATCACTAAACTAACCTATTTGATAATCATTTTAATTTTAGTTTTTAGTTTTCATTTTTTGTGCTAAAGTATAGAGGACAATGATAATGAAAGTGGGAGTGAATGTGAGATTGAGAGAGAGAGTATGAGAAGGGATGAGTAACAAAAGTGAAAACAAAAACTTGAAAGTGAAAACAATTTTAAATAGATTTCAGTTTTTAGTTTTTATTTTCACTTTTGTTACCCCTCCCTCTCACCCTCCCCTCTCCACTCTCATTCTCACCTTCCATTCTCTCTCTTGTTCCTCTATATTTTAGCATAAAAAATAAAAACTAAAAATCAAAATCAAAATGGTTATCAAACGGGCTCTAAGTGTGTGTTAGTAATCATGCGTCCAATGTTAAAATGAAACATTGTTAATTTCTGTGATCAAGCAATATCCTTATTTATCTCAACAAATTCAAGTTTATCATTTATATAACTTCTCCATAGTACCAAATAACAATGGATGTATAGAATAACAGTTCTATTTTAGACTGAAAGGATCAACACACATATATATTTGGTTGTCATTTATCTTTTTGGTGCACTGATATTGATGTGATGAATTATCATTGAAGAATAGGATCAAATTCATCACAATTTGGCAGGACGTAAAAGTGGGGTGTCATTGTAAACTTCAATATTCAACTCTCCTCCCTGCTAGCTTTTCCTAAAAGGTTGACCACATGTTGAGAAGACAGACAACCAAGTCTCTATCCTAGTTTCTTTTACTCTAGGTAAATTCCAAAAAAAATATATGAAAGCATATGAATTCACTGTGGTAAATTCCAAAGTTACTCATCAGTTGAGAAAACTTGAACCCTTGAATCACAGAGAAATATTATATTGTTGCAGCCAAAACCCATGATTAAAATAAATTCCATTAAAAAAAATGATGTAGGAAAAATATGAATTGGATGATGTGGATCATGATTGGCAAAACTTTTGTCGTCGATGGTGACGATCAAATTGGGCAGGCAAGTTGTCATGTGAAGTGAAGCACCAATCCCATTAAGCTTTTTTTTAATTATACTTAGTGATTAAAATGATTAGTTTTCAATATTTTACCACTCACATGCTAAAATTTCATACAAACAAACTCACACTAACCCAAAAAGAAGTGTTTTGTAATCTTTTGTGGGCCTTGCATTTGTTCCTTGCTTTTTGAAAAGTTGGCAAATTGGAGGTTTGAAAGTGTGGGTTTTGGGCATTGGAATTAGGAAAAGGGCAAGGCATTCAAAGTGGGTTCTTTCATGATTCCCATTCCCTCAGTTGGTCTTTAGTGGACCAAAGACTTTTTTTTTTTTTTCTCTCTCATTGAGTGTTCTCAGTTGTTACCTTTGAATCCTGCAGCAAATAAGGAGCGTAGCTGCACATATAGCTTACCTTTTTGTTCTCCTCTATCGAAGAGAGAGAGAGGATTGGGATCTGAATGACAAAATATTCAACTAGGTATGTGAACATCTTACTCGATAAAGATGATGTAGAATTCAATTTTTCTATTAATTCAAACACGAGAGTAAGAAACTACAGAACTTAAGAAAAAAACGAGAGTCGAATTCTTTTCGTAACTACAATTCTCCACTCTGATAATAATAAGATCACATGCTTTGAATAATTTAGGCTCCATAGTTCTAATGGAAATTCTAGACTTTCCTTTGTGGGTTTTGTAGACCCATTTTAGTATGTATTGACAGAAAAACCAAAAGCATGTTTTTTTTCTTTTTTGTTGTTGTTGAACGCCAAAAGCCAAGTTAGGTGGAGTTAGGTCCAAACCTAGGGCTATAGGCTCTAGGGGCTTGCCCAAAAGGATCCAAACCTAGTTTCAGATCCTATGCCGAATATACCATATTCAATGGACCCACATGCCCATGCATGATGTGACAAAATGGGTCAAACCCAAATGAACAAAAGTGGCCATCACTTGCGCTGCACATGACATAGCCTTCCAATTCACGAGAATTACCCTAATAATTTCAGAGGAAGCACAAGAATTAGCCGAAGACGACTCTTCTCACATGAATTAGAAGGCATGAATGAAACATGCAGAGCTTAAGTTTAGGGTCACTTTTAAAAGGAGTTACAAACCAAAACGCAAGAAAAGCATGAACAGCATACTTGCATATATATGTTATATTTATAATTTCTTTCCAAACCAAATTTAAAAAAAGAAGTTCCAAAATTAGATAAATGCATACAATGCATATGAAGAGGATACTGTTAGTCACTTTACTCTCACTTGCTATCTCCCTCTTGTTATTCATCATCTTCTTCAATGTTCAAGTAATAAGATCCCCATCAATTCCTTCCTCCAAAACCACCATCTTGCAAACCCAATTCAGCCTCTTGATTGGGATTTTAACTCGTGCCGACAACTACGATCGTCGTCATTTTCTCCGTCTTATCTATGGCATCCAATCCTCTCCCATTGCCAAGATAGACGTCAAGTTCATCTTTTGCAACCTCACCAAACCCGAGCAACGCATATTAATTTCTCTAGAAATCCTTCGATTCAACGACATTATCATCCTCAATTGTACCGAAAACATGAACAATGGCAAAACCTACACCTATTTCTCTTCGCTCCCGAGCATCCTCCCCCGCAAATACAACTATGTCATGAAGGCGGACGATGATGTTTTCATTAGGCTCGAGCCACTTGCCTTGTCCCTCAAGCCATTGCCTAGGGTGGACTTGTACTACGGATTTGTAATCCCATGTGCTAGCATGAACCCATTTGTGGAGTACATGTCCGGTATGGGGTTTTTGTTGTCCTGGGATTTGGTTGAATGGATTGGAGAATCTGACATTCCTAGAAAGGAGATGTTCGGTCCCGAGGATAAGATGGTGGGAAAATGGTTGAAGATGGGAAGAAAGGCAAAGAACAGGTTTTCCAACAAGCCAGCAATGTATGATTATCCAGGAACAAATGGGAAGTGCTCACATGAGCTTATACCAGAAACTGTGGCTGTTCACAGGCTCAAGAGATGGGATCATTGGTCGCACGTGCTTGAATTTTTCAATGTAACCAAACAAGTGCTCTAATTAATTATCGCTACCACCTTTGATTCAACAATTAATTAGGAAATAAGCTAGAATTAGTTTCTAACTTTGCTAGATAAATTAATTAGTATTGCTGCGGCCATTCTTTTTATCATTCTATTTCCAATCAAGTTCCTTATTGCGTATGAACAAAGGTTAAATTCCATTTTTGAGCCATACCCATAAATAGCATACCATTGGCACTTTTAACAGATGTTGTTAGAAATACTTTTTGATACAAGTGATATTGAGAGAGAGTGAAATAAAATTTAGGACCTCGAATACAGGAGTAAATGCTCTTAATCGTTTGAGCTACAACTTCCAAGTCCGTTGCGTCAAAACGCTTTTAGTTATTTGTATGCATTTTAAATAAATCCTAATTGGTGTAACCATATAGAGTATGACATGATATTTCTAATAAGTAGGTGTTGTTGCCCCAACAAGAAGTGGTTATTAGATCACAAATTGGCAACTTGAACTTGGTCTTGAAGTTGGTTAATTTAGCACAAGCAGCGGACGATGATGTTTTCATTAGGCTCGAGCCACTTGCCTTGTCCCTCAAGCCATTGCCTAGGGTGGACTTGTACTACGGATTTGTAATCCCATGTGCTAGCATGAACCCATTTGTGGAGTACATGTCCGGTATGGGGTTTTTGTTGTCCTGGGATTTGGTTGAATGGATTGGAGAATCTGACATTCCTAGAAAGGAGATGTTCGGTCCCGAGGATAAGATGGTGGGAAAATGGTTGAAGATGGGAAGAAAGGCAAAGAACAGGTTTTCCAACAAGCCAGCAATGTATGATTATCCAGGAACAAATGGGAAGTGCTCACATGAGCTTATACCAGAAACTGTGGCTGTTCACAGGCTCAAGAGATGGGATCATTGGTCGCACGTGCTTGAATTTTTCAATGTAACCAAACAAGTACTCTAATTAATTATCGCTACCACCTTTGATTCAACAATTAATTAGGAAATAAGCTAGAATTAGTTTCTAACTTTGCTAGATAAATTAATTAGCATTGCTGCGGCCATTCTTTGTATCATTCTATTTCCAATCAAGTTCCTTATTGCGTATGAACAAAGGTTAAATTCCATTTTTGAGCCATACCCATAAATAGCATACCATTGGCACTTTTAACAGATGTTGTTAGAAATACTTTTTGATACAAGTGATATTGACAGAGAGTGAAATAAAATTTAGGACCTCGAATACAGGAGCAAATGCTCTTAATCGTTTGAGCTACAACTTCCAAGTCCGTTGCGTCAAAACGCTTTTAGTTATTTGTATGCATTTTAACAACACTTCTAAATAAATCCTAATTGGTGTAACCATATAGAGTATGACATGATATTTCTAATAAGTAGGTGTTGTTGCCCCAACTAGAAGTGGTTATCGGATCACAAATTAGCAACTTGAACTTGGTCTTGAAGTTGGTTAATTTAGCACAAGCTATTTGGGCCTCCAGCTCCATTTTACCTTATCATTCGGGCCGGGCACAGCTCAAAGTACCAACCTACCGACCTGACAAATACTTTAATCCGTAAAAAAAGGAAAAAAAACCCCAAACCATAACGTCGTTTCCAAAAAGAAAAAGAACAAAAAAAAACGTAGAAATGCAGCCGACTGATGAAGCCACGTGTACAAACGTCAACGATGCCGACTGACTCTCTTCAGACCTCTCTCTCAAGTCTCAACTTTCCCTCGTTTTCAAAATTCACTCTGACGTAGACTGAAACTACACCCACCAAACAAACAACAACCTAACCGACACTTTTTTTGTCTAAACCCCCCCCCCCCCCCCCCCCC